CATTTTTAAAAGTTGCATAAGCTCCTGCCTGGCAAGCACAAGGACCTAAGTTCAATCCCCAGTACCACACACACACACACACACACACACACACACACAAAGCATTACTGGTACATTTCAAATATACATAATGATGACACTCATCACAGGACTCTGTACCTGCACATGATGTATCTTACTCTTTGTTTTTTCTCACTCCCCTCCCCTCCTTATTTACAAAAGCTGTTTCTGTTTTTTCCCTTCCATTCTTTTTGTTCTTTCTTGTTCCTTTCCCTCTCCCCCGTCCCTTGTTCCCCTTCCCATTTGAACATTTTTCCCCATATTACACCTTTTGGTCTGTTACACTTTGGGCATTTAAAACAGTCTTACTGCGGGTACAGCCATTTTATTTGGAAGCCTGGCCGCTGCATAGGACAGGGACGCCCATTCAGAGCTCAGATGGATGGGAAGCCTTGGGCTCAAGTGCTTTGAGATTTATTCACCAGGAGTCGCCAGCTGACTATAACCCTGGCCCAGGAGGCAGTGGCTGGGACCCTGTGCTCTGCTCCAGAACCCTGAGTCCATAAAGCAGCCCCTCCTCCCAGGGGCTTCCTCCCATCTTTTAGAAGAGATGGAGGGCCTGGGGAACCCCAGCTGTGGAGGCAGCAGCGGGTTCTCCCCTGGAGGGACAGAAGTCACAGGGCTCCAGGCAGAGCAGGTGGGGCTGCCAGCGCCCAGCAGGCACGTGTGCCCATCCCAAGCCTGGGTCTTGATTCCATGGGCAAGGAGCCCCCATCCTTCTGCTTCCTCTGGCTTCCGCCCGCACTGCCCTTTGGACCCTTCCACCACACCCCAGCAGGCCAACCTACATCTTCTAGGCATCCCCAGGCCTTTCCCAGGAGAAATCACAGACTAGCTGGATCAACCCCACGGGGTTCCACTGAGTGGTGGGGCTGGGACATAGCCCCCACTCCAGTCCCAGGTTAAAATTCCATTTTTCTGAGAGAAAACCTGAGGCTTGGTGGTAGGAGGAGATGGAATCAGAGTTGGATCTAAAATTGGAAGGAAAAAGGGGTTGGGTAGAGATGGGAACCAAACAAGGCCAGCACAGGGGACAGTCATAGCCCCCAGACCTAGCTAGAATCGCTTTCTGCCCGTCAAGAACTCCTATTCACCCCGCAAAACCTTGTCATCCCTAAAGTGAGAGAGAGAAGGAAATAGAAATGGCATCAAGTTTGAGGGGATGAACAGCGAGGAAGGCCGGTCGGTCAGTGGCAGGCCACCTTGGGGTCACCAGAGCCAGGAGCACCTGGCATTGCAGTCTGGGTCCCCACCCCACCCTGCGGACCCAGAGGCATGGAGAGGGCAACACAAGGTGGGGGGAAATGGGAGGGACAGTGGGCGGGGTCGGAGTGAGGGCGGGACGGGGGTTGGGCACTTGGGAGGGCATTGGTGTTGGAGGGGCGGGAAGGGGCGGGGGTGGGCGGGGTTATGGGAGGGAGAGCGGAGCCGGGTTCCGGCTGCGCTCACTGCTGCCGCTCTCCCCCGGCTCGGCTGGTGCGCTCGGACCCCGGGCCGGACAGACCTAGGAACCATCCCACCCGCGAGGAGGGGGGCTCTGGGTACCGCAGACCCCGCCGAGCCGGTCGAGGTGAGTGTCGCGCGGAGCGGACGGCGGGCGGGGCGGGCCGCTCGGGGACCTGTCGGAGCCTTTGTCTGCAGCGCGGCCCCCCTCGCCACCCTGCCCAGGCGCACGGCCCCTAGCGTCCCGTCTCGGGAAGAGGGGTTCTCCGCGCCCCGACCTGCGCTGCAGCCCCCAGGCCCCCAAGAAGGGACAGGTCGGTCTGGGCACCGCTGGTCGGCCGGACACACCCAGGTCCTCCCTCCCGCGAAGTTCCTCCCAGAACCCTCCCGCGCCCCCTCCTCTGAGTTCCTGGAAAAGCTGATGGAAGAGGCGGAGCCTGGGCCCAGGGGTCACCTCGTGGGTGACCCTTGTGCCCGGGGTGGTCCGACTTTGCTGCAGGCAGGTGGAGCCCCAGGGACTGAGCCTGCGAGAACCTGCGGGAAGCCAGCCCGGGAGGGTAGGGCCCGGACTGCCCCAACATCCCTGCCGGCTGGCTGGCTGGCCTGGCTGATGTCCACGGGACCGCGGGAAGCAGGTGGTCAGGTGGCCAGAGGCTCTTGAAACCAATGTTTCTCCCACTGCAAGGAGTGTAGGACTGCCGAGAAGCTGGGCTGTGGGACACTCCCTACGCCTAGCCTCAGGCCACAGGGGACAGGGCATCCAAGGGCATGCAGCAAAGAGGCCAGAAGTTCAGCTCCTGAGAGGGGCGAGCAGGCCAGCGCTCCAGGCAGAATCTTCCCTTCATCCCGCTGCTCTGCTGCTCTCAGCCTGGCCTGGCCAGAGGGCCAGCATCTCCTCCATGCCCTGGGCGCAGCAGTCCCAGCTGCAGTGGGAGGGGCCCAGGGTGGGCAGCTTGGCCAGGCCCCAGGGTGGGCTGCTCTGCCGTGGCCTCGACCTATCTCTGCCTCAGTGGCCCTTTCTGCAGAATGGAAGCATGAGCACTGCTTGGCAAGGCTGATGAGGGTTAGGGGCTCTCTTTGGCCCCCACAGTGCTCTCCAAGTGGTGGTTTGTGCCACTGTGGAGCATCTGCTGTGTAGCAGGCCTTCTCTGCCAGCACTCAGTCCCTCTGTGATTTATTCTCTTGCCTTCCATTCCCTCTACTGAGTCCTCACAGTAGTGAAGTGGAGAAACCGAGTCCTGAGTGTTATCCGAAGGCCAAAGAAATGACCTGTGTCATCTCAGCTGCTCTGAGAGGCAGACAGAGAGGTCCCAGCTGCTCAGGGTGGGGAGTAAAGAGGAAGCCTGTATGGCTTGGGTCTTTGAGCCTGGGTGCCTAGGAGGAGGGTCGGTCTGAGGCCTCAGGCTGCTGGTGTGCAGGGTGCAGGGCCAGGGCAGGAAGCTGAAGGCTGTGGGGTACCGTGGCCGGGGCGCGCAGTGTGGGTGGCAGCTGCCCACCACGCTGAGGGAGCTGGTGCGATGCTGAGCACGTCCGCCCTCCCAGATGGCGTTGCCTCCTCCCGGGGGAAACATCGCTTGCCGGCCAGGCGTATCCAGAGGCTGCGTCGTTGGGAGCCCTGATAGCAGGAGCCCGCCTTTGGGGTTCAGATGTCTCCAGGATAAGCGCGGGTCCTCCGTGCCGCTCAGCAGGAGGTGCACGCAATTGTTATCCCACAATTGTTAGACTGTCATTCAGACAGCTGTCCCCTTCTTGTCCCTTCCTGACAGGAGGAGGCAGGGAGGGGGCCAAGCCCAAACAAAGGTCTCCTGTCTACACCCACCTCAGCCTCTTGAGGTCAGGCTGGCGCGTCTGGCTGACTGGGAGAGTACAGGGGTGAGTCCAAGGCCACTGTCGTGAAACTGCAGGCAGCCCTGTCCTAATCCCCTACAGTGTCCCCTAGCTCCAGATGTGGCTGGATGGGTGGGTGGGCAAGGGGGCATGGGAAGCCCTTGAGTTCAGAGGGGAACCCTCGTCCTGGCCCCCAGCCTCTTCTCCCTCAGCCGTGGGTGTGATCACTGGGTCAGCCCTCCTGCTGGGGGTTGACTTTCCCAGCCACCCAAGACCAGAAACAGTACGCTGCTGCCTTCGAGCCCCAACCTGTGTCCCCGTCCCCACCAAAGCTCTGTGGAGAGCCAAAGAAGGGCAAACAGGGACCAGGAAGAGGAGAGGTTTTGGCGCCTGGAGACTGGGAAGGGGGTAAACTGAGGCAGGAGATCTGGGGACAGAAAGTCTAGAAGAAGGGTGAGAGGAGTGCTGGCTGGTCAGCCCAGGAGATGACAGAGTGACTGCAGCCTGTGAGGTTCCTCAGCAGTGTTCCTGCTGGGGCTGTGGCATCAGTGGGCTGAGGGTCCCTTTCTGTGACGTTTGTCCCAATCATTCAGTGAGCATTCGTCCTTATTTGCAGTCAGGGGAATGAATTATGTTCTTGGAAAAATCAAATGATAATGTTGGGGGGAGGAGCTACCCAGCCCAGATGCACATGGGGCTGCCCTCCCAGTGGGGTATCTCAGCACCCCAGATCCCTGGGTGCTTTCCCTTGCCATCCAGTCAGGGCTAGCAGGTCCTAAGTAAAGAAGGAATCACTGTGGGAGACACTGGGGGCAAGGGCCTGCCAAAATGGCAGCCCCAGGATGGAGGGCCAGGGCCCTAGTGTCTCACAGCTGTGGCGCCTGGGGTGGGGTCCAGGCTTTGCACCTTTCTGCCTGAGTCCAGAGCAGGCGTTATTCACTATAGCACCCCACATTTGTTGGCTCAATACGAATGCATATGGAGACGCACTCCCGGCTCTGTGCTGGCGCACACAGCGTGGTCCACGGTGCCTGCTGCTCCACCTGCCCTGGCATTGCGAAACCTATGCCCCCCGGGGCCACTGCTGCCACCCGCACGCAGGCCACCTCGGTTGCTCTGGCTGCCGCCGCTCATGAGCTCCAGTCTCCACTGCTCCTGCCCCATCTCCATAGCAACAAGGGGGAGCTCCTTACACACAGACACCCAAGCTGACATCAGCCCTCTGATGAGTTTGTGTCCTTCATAGTGAATGCCAAAAAGGGAGGAAAGCCTGGTATGGTGGTGCACGCTGGTAATCCCAGCACTGAAAGGCTGAGGCAGGAAGATTCAAGTTCAAGTTCAAGCTTTGCCTGGGCAATTATCAATTCAGGGAGACCATGTCTCAAAATAAAAGTTTGTTTGTTTGTTTTTTGTGGTACTGGGGATTGAATTCAGGACCCTGCGCTTTCCAGGCAAGCGCTTATTCTACTGAGCTATCTTCCCAGGCCCAAAATGAAAGATTTCTAAAAGGGGTGTGTGTGAAGCTCAGGGCAAGGTCCTGGGTTCAGGCCGCAGTACCAAAAACAAACTCAAAAGAAGGGGTGTGAATGGGAAGGTCTATCCCAGGGGCTCAGGGGAGTCCTTGTTCTGTTCCATGCCCACCCCATTTCCTCCCTGCAGAGCAGGTGGCCATGGGTTCTGTGGGAAGCCGGCGCCTCAAGGAGCCCAGTGTGGTGGGCACACCTGACAGGAGCTTGGGGACCAGCTTCAGCTTTGACAGCTTCCAGCTGGAGGCTGCTGCGACCATGGTGGAGGCAACTCAAGACCAGGGCATCAGGGCCAGGAGTGTCCCCACCTTTGTGGACTCGGGTGAGTACAGCATGGGGTGGGGTCATCTGCATGGCTCTGGGCAGCCCTCAGATGGAGCACCTGGGGCTACAGCACATGCACAGAGACACACCCCAGGATCCCCTGCAGTGGCCATCTGTGCCCACGGAAGGTGAGGGGCATGCAGGGAATCAGCCCTGACCCATGCTTCTGTCTGGAGGTGCCATGGGGCACTTTGGTCACATCCATCAGACAAAGCCAGCTGTGCCCAACTGCAAAGGAGATGGCTCAGGGCTGGAGGTGAGGTTCAAGGAGCTGATTGTCATAGCCGAGCACAGTGGCTCAATCCTGCTACCCCCAGACTCTGGGAGGCTGAGGCAGGAGGACACAAGTTTGAGCCCAGCCTGGGTAACTTACCAATTTAGTGAAACCTTTCCTTAAAGTAAAAGATAAATAAGGGCTGGGGATATGGTTCAATGTGAAGGCCCTGGAGTCAATCTCCAAAACTTTAAAAAGGAGAAAAGCTATTTGTCAGCCCAGCTGTATGACCTTGGGCAAGAACTTAAGCCTCTCTGAGCCTCAGTTTCCCCAAATTGAAGATCTGGGCCCACCAGCTGTTCGGTAGTGGACAGGACTAGCATAGGACAGGCACAGGGTCCTCCAGTCTCCTGTCCTTTGCTGCTGGGGGCTTTGAGTGAGTTACTGCCCCATGTGGCCATGGTTTGTTTGTTGGGCAAAGGGACAATATGGACACCAGACTCAGCATGGGCTGCCGAGTGCCAGGCCCCACCATGGCTCAGAGCATGGCCTCACCCTCAGCCCAGTCTTTGCCCACAGGCAGCAGAGGCTCTGCTGGCCAGGCTACTCCATGCAGAGGGAGGAAGAAGGCTGGGCAGTTCCCCAGGTAGCAGTGGACACCACCAATTGGACCCCTGCAGCTGTTCCAGTGCAGAAATTGGCTTGCTAAAGTGGGGGCTAGTAAGACAGCCCCTTAGTTCATTTCCCATTGCTGTAATAAAATCCCCGAGGCTGAATGTTTTATAAAGAAAAGAGTTTCATTTCACTCAGAAGGCTGAAGCTTCAAGATCACATTGCCAGCTGCAGTTGGGTTGTGGTGATAGCCTTGTGGTGGACAGCATCACAGGGGCAGGCCGGAAAGGCAGGCAGATAAAGAGACAGACAAAGAAGTAGACAGGGAGAGAGGTCATGTGGCAGAAAGTGAGAGGGATTCAGAGGCAGTGAAGGCTCAGTTAGGAACCTGCTCCCCCAAGAGTGAGGAACCCCAGTCCCTGTCACAAACCCAGCCATCTCCCATAGGCTCTGCCTTCTGAAATCAAAGTTTCCATGACAAGGGGACCACGGCTCCTACACACACAGGTGAACCCTTGGGGATGAGCCAGCCCCAGCCCCAGCAGCTAGGCTGCAGTCAGGTCCAAGATCAAGAAAGGCCAAAGGATCTCACCTGATTAGGCCAGGCCCACCAAGAGTCACCTCCCATTAGGTTGTATCCACTCCCACCAGGGACAGACTCTACTCCACACACCCTTCCCAGCCATACCTAAGGAGTTTCTGTTTGGTTAAAGAGGGGCTGCGTGCCAGCCGACCACAGAACAGACCAGAGTCTGCCCCTGCATGCAGCTCTATAAACTGCATTTCCTCTCCAAATAAAGATGACACCCAAGTCATAGTGCGTCTGAACACGATACGGCTCACCCCGCACCCTAGAACTGCACAATCCCTTTCCCAGAGGATGGTGCGGGATCCTTCCACGGTGCTCATGCTGCTTTTCAGTATCCTGAAGTCCCAAAGGTAAGGATGACACCCACACCCTATGCTGGTGACAGGACAGGAGAGAGTGGATAAACCAAAACATTTGGTAAGGACTCTTTTAGAATATTTTGCTGAGTTTACACACCTATAATATTCAATAACGGAACTTAGGAAAAAAGGGGGTATACAGATGAATGTCCATTTTGTATCTGTGTATTCAAAGAGGTTGGGATAGATATATAGTTGCATTCTCTTAATGAATAGAATGATTTGTTCTAATGGTGTTTGTAAATAGGATCTCAAGTCCGCATCTTGTACAGCAATTAACCACTGAGAAGAATATATGAATATATGCAGTGTATTATTTGTTGAAACTGTACTTCCGATTTGATTTGAAACTGTCTCATTGCTGTTTATCAATAAAACTTTGAAAAAAAAACATTTGGTAAGCAAGGTATGGAAGAACACAGCTGTAGTCCCAGCACTCTGGGAGGCTGAGGCAGGAAGATCTCAAGTTTAAGCTCAGCCTAGACAACTTCATGAGAACCTGTCTCAAAATAAAAAGGACCTGGGGATGTAGCTCAGTGTGAAGGTCCTGGGTTCAATCCCCAGCATTACAAAAAGAATTTTTTAAAAAAGCAGCTGCTTCCACTGCTGTGATGCGTAGCTATGGTGGCCATGGCCCCGTGCTAGTGGACAGCAGCCCTGGTGATAGTTGTCATGGTGACAGTAGACTGTGGATGTGGTGGTGGTGGTCGTGGCTTTGGTGATGATCTTCCTGGCCTGGGTGTCTTGGGGCAGGGCTGTGGTGTGAGGCGACCGCAGTGACTGACGCAGGGCGCGGTGCCCGCCCGCTTGTGTGTCTCAGCAGCCGCAGAGCCTGTGCCTGAGGACCGCTACCATGCCATCTACTTTGCCATGCTGCTGGCTGGCGTGGGCTTCCTGTTGCCCTACAACAGCTTCATCACCGACGTGGACTACCTGCACCACAAGTTCCCAGGTGCGCGGCCTCAGGGCGGCCCCTGCCCGCTCGACCCAGGCGGACCGCGAGGGGTGGGCCAGGGGGGGCTGCCCCAGCACCTGTCCCCCTCGGCCTCACAGGGACCTCAATTGTCTTCGACATGAGCCTCACCTACATCCTGGTGGCGCTGGCGGCCGTGCTCCTCAACAACGCCCTGGTGGAGAGACTGAGCCTGCACAGCAGAATCACCACAGGTGAGCCCCGCTGCCTGGGCCTCACTCCTTCTTCTGTAAAATGGGCTCATTTCCCAGGACACTGCAGGTTTCCGTGTTAGAGAACAGGACCAGGCCAGGCTCCTCTGCTGCCTCACAGCCCCCGAGCTTGGGCTCTGCACAAACCTTGCCCTTCTCCAAGTGCCCTCTTCCTTTCTGTGGCTCTTCATGGAGGCTGCTAGCCTCCAATAGCGCCTCTTCCAGGAAGCCCCTCAGGATTGCCCCTTCTGGGCCTGTCAGGTGCCTCAGCACCCAGGAGTGGGGTGGTAGAGAGTGAGAAGGGAGCACTGAAGCCTGCTTCTCACAGGCTACCTCCTGGCCCTGGGGCCTCTGCTCTTCATCAGCGTCTGCGATGTGTGGCTGCAGCTCTTTGCGCATGACCAAGCCTATGCCATCAACCTGGCCGCGGTGGGCACCGTGGCCTTCGGCTGCACAGGTAGGGGTCAGGCCACGCACACCGCTGTGTACTCCACTGCGTCGTCACGGCCCTGTTTCTGTGGGGCTGTGGCTCAAGCTTTTTTGTGGTGCTAGGGATTGCACCCCAGGCCTTCACTTAGAGCTACAACTCCCGCCCTTTGTATTTTGAAACAGGGTTTTGCCAAATCACTGTTTCCGGGCTGGGGAGATGGCTCAGTGGAATACGTGCTTGTCTGGCAAGCACAAGGGCCTGAATTTAATCTCCGGTTCCACCAAAAAAAAAAAAAAAAAAAAAAAAAAAGACTCAAATCACTGTTTTCTAGGTGGGGCTCAATTTTTTTTTATTTTATTTATTTATTTATTTGTATTTTAGGGAAGGGCCTACAGGGTGTTCAGGGTCTCACTACTAAATCGGACTCATAGTGATCCACCTGTTTACAGCCTTCTAAGAGCTGGGATTACAGGTGCGCGCCACCACGCCCAATCTCAACTGCAGTCTCAGCATGCCCCCGGGGGTGGGGCCAGCACGGCTGGCCTGGGATCGGTGGAACCCCCAGTCCCTGTGCCTGCTTGCAGGCAATTTAATCTGCTGAGCTATTTGGCCAGCCCCTAAGGCTCAAATTTGTGATCCTCCTGCCTCAGCTTCCCAGAGTGTGCTAAGATGACAGGCATGTGCTACCACATCAGGCTGATTCAGATTTTTAAAAAATTTTATATAAAATATGTCAAGGCTACAGAAAGCTTGCCAGAGTAATACAGTGGGCTCCACATGCCCCTTCCCCCTCTTCCTGAATGTGCATCAACTTCCCCTAACTATGGATGGGCACCAACTCATTCATAGCCTCCCTTCACGCCCAGCATCTCTCCTGCCCAGACCCCCACTCAGCATGCATTTCTATCTATTTCTCTTAGTAACCACACTCCAGGTGCCAAAATCCCGAAATCTCCCACTGGCGTGATGGTAGCGCGTCTTTGTCTGGCTCACGTCCACCCCACGGTCACACCCTGTGTGTCGCAGTAACCCATCTTATCCCTGTAATCTGTGGTGGTTCCTCTGCCTACCCTTGGCATTCACAGCAGTGGCACTGTTTAGGGTCCAGGCTGATGGTCTGGAAGGCATCTGACCTGTTTGTTTTGGGGGTTGCTGGGATGGAGCCTAGGGCCCTGCACCGCTAAGCAAGTGCTCTACGCCCAAGCAGAACCCAGACATCACACTTTGTCTTGTCTGTTTGAGACAGGATCTCACTATGTAATGCAGGCTGGCCTTGAACTCCCGCAGTCTTCCTGCCTCACCCTCCAGAGTGCTGGCATTGCAGGCATTCACCACCACACCCACAGGTTGTCTTTAACTGTGACTTCCAGGAGGAAATAGATTCCATACAGGCATCCCCTAAATGCATGTGTGCGCATGTGCACTTCTCACCCAGGCATTTACCCACCTTTTTTATATTGTAAATGCCAGTGCTTCAGTAGGGGTGGTGCCACACGCCTGTCCTCACAGCCTCTAGGGAGGCCGAGGCAGGAGGATTTTTGGTTGGAGGCCAGCCTGGGCAGTTTAGCAAGATCCTGTCTCAATTAAAAAAAAAAAATGTGACAGACTGAGGTTATAGATCAGCCCTTCCTGGTAGTTTTGATCCATAGAACCAAAGAAAGGAGGAAGAGGGGATAAAGGAGGAGGGGAAGAGCTGCGGCGGGGCAGGTCTCCGTTCAGGTTGGAGTGGCCGCCCAGCCTGGCCCTGCTGAGCACGACGAGTACACGGAATGGTGCAGGAGAGGCCTGAGGTCTTGGCGGCTTCCTAAAGCAAGTTTCTGTCTCACTGGGGTGGCAGCTGTGTTCTAGTCCATCGGGGACGTGGGCCCACAGCCCTGTCCACATGTGGCCTCCTGGGACACTACCGGTGGGGGGGGGAATGGGGTAGCTCCCTCCAGTTTGCACTGCCTGGTCCAGCAGTGACACACGAGTTTCTGCTCCTGTCCTACTGAGCAGGGGTGGTGATGACCTGGAGCACTCTGAGGGCAGGACCAGGGCGGATTTGGTGCCTTACTTGGGGACAGCACTGTCTCTACTGTGTACTGTGAGGCATTGGTGTGAAACCCCTCTGCCCAGCCAGGTGTGGTGGTGCATGCCTGCAATCCCAGCACTCATGAGGCTGAGGCAGGAGGATCATTGTGAGTTTGAGACCAACTTGGGCCTCAAATTGAGCTCAAGGCTACCCTGAACTGCAGAACAAGACCCAGTCTCAAAAAGACAAAACAAAAAGAAAATGCAAAGCCCCTCTGCCCTGGACACTAACACCTTTTCACACCCTCGCCCTCCAGCAGGAGCTCTAGTCACACACAGCGCACCAGATTGGTGGCATGCAGTCTCTCAGTTTCCCTCTCTCTCTCTCAAGTGCAGCAATCCAGCTTCTACGGGTACACAGGGATGCTGCCCAAGAGGTACACGCAGGGGGTGATGACGGGGGAGAGTGAGTATTGCACACCTAAGGGGGTGCTGAGTTGTGCGGGGTCTGCGGGCTTCTTCCGGGGCTTCACCCTCATCTGGGGGCTGGGTGGGGGCTCAGCCGGCAGCTGCATGCAGACAGCGCCTAGGCCTGCGTTCCAGGCCTGCTTGTGCCTCTCTGTGTGTTCGGCCCACAGGCCCACCTCGGTGCCACCCTTTGATACCAGGCTCTCCTCAGGGCCCTGGCCCTAAGCACTGCCCTGGCCCAGCCCCATCCTGAGGGTCCCAGTGATTTCCCAGATAACACCAGGCCACCTCCCTGCCACTAAATAAGTGGTACCACTGTTCCCAAGTCACCCAGCACCCAGCCCTCCTCCTGTCACCTGGGCCTGCCATCCAGGTAGATGCCTGACCTGTCCCCTTCCCCTCCTGACCTGTCCCCTTCCTCCACTTCCCTGCTGACCCTGGCCCAACCCCACCCGCACAGGGTACTGAGCTGCCCAGGCAGGGCCCACCAGGCTGCTGTTCCCCTTGGTGGCATTTGCAGCCCTTGGCAATGCTGTACTCTGGGGCCCTGGTTCCACTCGTGGCAGGGTGCCAGCAGATTGGGGCAATCTGTGGAGCCAAGAATTTTTTGTTCGGGGCCCCCAGGCTCCCCGGGGGACAGCTTAGTGGTTGAGCCCCTGCCATCCCTTGCTGCCATGGGCCTTGGTTAAACTTGGATGAAGCCCCCCACCCTGACCCCACTACTTCCTACCCCCTAACCTTGGATCTTGCTCCAGGGCCCCAGCCCTGCTGTGCTCAGCTTCTCACCTATGCAGAGAGCAGGGCTCTGCTAGCCCCAGCCAGGGACTTGCATCCCAATCTAGTGGGTCCTGAGGCCACGACGGGCTGGACACTCGAGAGATGTGAGTGGCAGGTGTGCATGTGCACAGCTCCAAAGGCTATTCGGTGTCTGGGGCCCAGGAAAGTGGCCTAGGGAGGCTGATTCTTCCAAGAGTTAGGGAGACACTGAGACTGGCTTTGGAAGCGGGGTGGGGGCGGGCTGGAGCAAAGGACCAGAGGGACCTGCTGGCCAAGGCTGGGCTGGGCAGGGTATAGGAGTTGGGGTGATGGACAGGAGGGGCTGGGCAAGCGCGGTGGGTCAGGGGAGCCCCAGCCCCTCCCCCTTGTGTCCCCAGGCACGGCGGGGGTGATGATCTCCCTGAGCCGTATCCTCACCAAGCTGCTGCTCCCGGACGAGCGCGCCAGCACGCTCATTTTCTTCCTGGTCTCCGTGGGCCTGGAGCTGCTGTGCTTCTTGCTACACTTGCTGGTGCGGCGCAGCCGCTTCGTGCTCTATTACACCACGCGGCCACGAGACAGCCGCCGGGGCTGTAGGGCCGGCTACCGCGTGCACCACGACGTCACCGCGGAGGACATCCACTTCGTAAGTGCCTGCGCCAGGTCTGGGGTGGCCTGGCCTCTGTCCTTGTCACCCAATGCAGAGGGACCAGGCCGACCTGGTTGAGTTTCTCTGCCGGGAGCACTGTCACAGGGGCTCAAGGCTCCAGCAGGCTCGATATGAGCTCGGCTCAGCCTCTGTCTATAGGAACAAGACCCAGGAATGGGGGACACAGAGGATCCCCTTTCCCTGGGTTCTGCCGAGCGGAGGAGAGGGACCCAGGACGCGGGGCAGGACAGCCCCGACACAGCCTCGGACACTGAGGTCACCAGAGCCAGCCAGGACCGAGGAGCCCAGGTGGAGAGGGTGGGTAGGGCCCACCTGGGGAGCCGAGCGCCCTCTGGCGGTCGCATGGTGGCAGAGCCCTGGAGGCACGCGGGCGCACAGGGGCGGCCCTTGAGAGGGTCTGTGGTTTCCCCAGCAAATTGTAGCCACCATCAGGGCAGCCGCTGATTCAGGGTGCCCTTCTCACGGATCCCAACGGCCCGGAGATGGCCTGTGATGGAAGAGGGCAGGTCTGAGGGGGTGCCCGGGGCCCAGGTCGGGGGATGCAGAGACTGCGGTAGGATTGGGTGCAGTGGGGGTGAGGGAAGAAGGCCTCCAGGGCCTTGGCAAAGGTGAGCACCTGCGGTTAGGTTTACACCTCTGTAATCCCAGCTATTTGGGAGGCTGAGACTGGAGGATCACATCCTGAGCAATTTAGGAGGACTCTGTCTCAAATATAAATGCAGAGCAGGGATGTAGCACAGTGCCCTGTGGATTCGACCCCCAGTACTGAATAAAAGAGAAAAGCAAGATATCTAGGCAAGTGAGGGAGAGATCTGTAAACAGTAGGTGCCGACTGGCCGTTAGCCCGAGGCGGCGCTCCTCCTGGGTCAGGTGTTTGCCCGGTGCCTCCCGTCTGTGCCCTGCACCGAGCCCTGTCGTCCTTCCAGGAGCACCAGGCCCCTGCCCTGGCCAGCAGTGGGTCCCCCAAGGACAGTCCAGCCCATGAGGCGACCCGCGGCTACGTGCGCTTCGATGTTCCGCGGGCGCGGAGCTGGCCCAGCTTCCGAGGTAAGGGGGGCACACCTGTGCGATGGCACCAGAGGCCCCCAGGGAGGGCGCCGCATGCTGACCAGCCTGTGTCCCCAGCCCTCCTGCTGCACCGCTACGTAGTAGCGCGGGTCATCTGGGCTGACATGCTTTCTATCGCGGTGACCTACTTCATCACACTGTGCCTGTTCCCCGGCCTGGAGTCCGAAATCCGCCACTGCGTGCTGGGAGAGTGGCTGCCCATCCTGGTCATGGCCGTGTTCAACCTCTCAGATTTCGTGGGCAAGGTGGGTGTGAGGGGCCGCGGGGCCCGGCTGGCACCTAGCTGATTAGTACCCGGAGGTCACCGGCCCCTAGAGGGCGCCCCAGCCTGGTCCCTTAGGGCCGACCTCACTTGGCAGTGGGGTTGCCTACGCTCTGAGCTTGAGCTTGCGCCCCTGAAGTCCTCATAGGTGGCAGGAACTCAGAAGAGCCAGTGAGGGCTGGTCCAGGCTTCCGATGCCTCCTGCAGGTAGGGGTGGGGGGAAGGAGGATCATGAGCTCAGAGAGAGAGCCGTTGGCCTGGGCTCACACAGTATAGAGGTCCAAGAAATGAGTCAGTGTGTCTCCAAGGAGCACAGCTGTGTTCGTGAGTCCCAACCCCAATCCTGCTGTGACCCATTTCTCAAAGAGAGCCCCAGTCCCTCCTTGGAGAGCACCCTGGGGTGAAAGGAAGGTATGAGAGGTTGTGTGCTGATGCCTAGCTCTTACTTCAAGGACAGCTAGAGAGGGTGTGGACATGGGCAGAGCTGGGAGCAGGTGCGGGGGCACAGGACAGGCTGGGGGCCGCCAGGGATGCACACACTCCTCCCCACAGATCCTGGCCGCCCTGCCTGTGGACTGGCGGGGCACCCACCTGCTGGCCTGCTCCTGCCTGCGTGTGGTCTTCATCCCCCTCTTCATCCTGTGCGTCTACCCCAGCGGAACGCCTACCCTCCGCCACCCAGCCTGGCCCTGCATCTTCTCCCTGCTCATGGGCATCAGCAATGGCTACTTTGGCAGCGTGCCCATGATCCTGGCAGCTGGCAAAGTGAGCCCCCGGCAGCGAGAGCTGGCAGGTAAGGCCACTGCCCCAGGGACAGCAGAGAAACCAAGGCCAGGAGGAGCTACCACCGGGCGGCCTCAGGCACATTTGGGGGTACCATCTGTTGTTTTATTCATTCATTTTGCACCTCCTTGGAGAGATGCCCCTTTGTGCCGGCCAGTGTGCCAGGTTCTGGGGACACAGACTCCCCATGCTCATGTGACCACAGTCCAATAACAGATAGCCAATAAACACAGATGACAAGCAGACATGATGTCACATGAAGGGGTAAGGACTGTGGGGAAAGTTGGAGAAATGGGAGCAGGTTCACACCTGTAATCCCAGCTCTGGAGGCTGAGGCAGGAGGAACACGAGTTAGATCTCAGCCTGGGACTCTTACCAACACCTTACCTCAAAATAAAAAGCGCAGGAGATGTATCTCAGTGTAAGGGTCCTGAGTCCAATCCCCAGTACCACCACCCTCCAAAAATTAGAAAGAGGAGGAGGAAGAGAAGGGAGAGCAGGAGGGTGGCAGTATGGCCGACTGAGACAGGGAAGGGTCATGTCAGGTTTGGGACTGACACAGTGGAGACAGCCATCAGACTCCCAGAGTGCCCCTAACAAGGATTCCCTGGGGACAAAGGCTAGAGATAGAAACAGTTGGAGGCACAGAAGCAGGTGAGTCCCGGGCCCCCAGGAGAGGAGGGTCTGGGCCAGAGGAGTTTTGGCCTGAAGGGGACAACAGCTGCTTGTGGCAGTACACAGAATTACAGGCTCCTGGGGTTGGCACTGTCTCTGGAATGCACACCCAATACACAACTGCTGTGGGTTCAGCAGGCGCGGCATGGTCCCCTCACACGGCTGCTGCCCACCTGCTCAGGGCCCTGTCACCCACAGGGAATACCATGACTGTGTCCTACATGTCAGGACTGACCCTGGGCTCCGCCGTGGCCTACTGCACCTACAGCCTCACCCGCAACGCCCACAGCAGCTGCTTCCAAGCCGCCACCACCACCACCAATGGGTCCCTCGTCCCAGGGCCCTAAGTCCTGCCCACCTGCCCTTTCCAGGGAGACTGCTGTGCCCACCGGGATGGCCCAGGCCACCACCCTATCCGCCTGCAGTGCCTGGGGGCTGAGCCAGCCTCCTCCTGTGCTAACAGCCCCACCCAGCCAGCCTGGGTAACGTTTCTGTGACCCACAACACTGCCCAGCGCTGTGTTCCACACCTTGTCTGCCGTGTCTGTGTCCAGTAGTCTGGGCTCTGGTCAGGCCAGCACTCTGTGGGTTCCCTGCCCGGGATGACAGACTCAGAGCCTCAGCACCTTCTGCCAGTGACCCTGAAGGACAGTCCGCTTTGAGATTCCCCTTGTCACCATCAGTGTCCACGGCCCTTGTTGGGGAGGATCCACCTCATGGCACTTGAAGGTGGTGCAGTCCCCAGCCGTCACCCTCAGGCCTCACCCCTGCTGCTTGTCCTTGAGCACCGAACACATGCATCTGCTGCAGAAGAAAGATGGCCCTGGCTTCAGTGTACCCAGCACAGAGCTAGCTCAGTGACACCTCCCACCCCAGGCCTGAGGTTCTGCCTGCCGGGTCCTCACTCCCCTCAGCCCATCCATGGCACGAGAGGGGCTGGCTTTGGGGGCCATGAAGCAGTTCCTGAGATCATCTCAACCCTGGCTTGGCTTCCTCTTGGAGAGGGACACGTGCCCAAGGGGCCACGACAAGCTGGGAGGGCTGGCGCCACTGCAGGTGACCAGGCTGACTGGGGCATCCTGCCAAAGACAGTGCCAGACCCCTATGTCCCCAGCTCTCTGTGACCATGCTGTCCCCTCACCTGCTGCGTCCCACCCACCCGTGTCTCCTCTGTACCGCACTGGCCATTAAAAGATGGCAGCTGAGACTGCCCCACCGCCTCCAGGGAGATCTTTGTTGGGGTGTGAGGCTGGGACAACCGAAGAGGCTGCTGGGCCGGAGGGGTGCCGGGAGTCAGTGGGAGGGGGAGCAGGAGCCCTAGGATTTGTAGCAAGTGCCCTTCAGCCCTCAAGAGGGCCTGGGAGAACAGCCCCACCCAGCCCACCGTGGGAAATGGGGCTGTGGCGAAGTCCCAGCCCAGGAACTGAGCCTTCTGACACCGGTTCTGCTGTTCTGATTTGTGCGACTGGAGTTCCTGCACACTTCTGTGCCTGTGTTCCAAGGAGTGGGCTGAGAACTAGGTCTCTCTGGGGAGGCCAGAGAGCCACCAGAGCCAGACCTGTATCACCCCGCGGGACGCAGGCGGGAACAAGCCACAAGACAATGTCAGAGGCTGCCACCAGGTGGCGCGAGGGGAGCCACTCTTGAGGTCGGAGGCCGTCTTCCCCAGTTGTCACAGCTGGGAGCATTTCCGCTCTGCTTTTTTGCAGGAAAAGCAGATGTGAACCCTCCAAGGACCCTGGCCAAGGAAACTGGCCAGAGTAGCCCTGCCCTGCCCAGTAGAGTAGCCACTAGCTACGCCTGGCTATGGAGAAACCAGAACATGACAGAGCTACCAAACTTCTATAGACCTAATTTAATTCCCCCAGGTTCTGAGAATGTTTTTTGGAAACCTTCCCCCACCCCCAGAGGCCGGCGGGATAGCTCAGTGAAATGCCTGCTTAGCAGGCTTAAGCAAACGCAGGTGACTGCCGTTCAAGAGAGGCGAGGGCGACTGGCAAGTGCAAGGTCCCACGGTTTTTTTTTTTTTTTTTTAATTTTTTTTTAGAGAGAGAGAGAGAGAGAGAGAGAGAGAGAGAGAGAGAGAGAGAGAGAGAGGTTTGTGTGTGTGTGTGTGGCCAGCTCAGCCCACCAGGGGGCGGGCTGGCTGGCATGTGGTGCTGGGGGATTGAACCGCGGTCCCTGTGCTTCGCTGAACTTGTTCTAAGTAAGTGCTTTAGACCACTGAGCCATCTCTCCAGCCCAGGTCCCACGTTTGATCCCTGGTACAGACAAAAAAATTGAGATAGCGTTGAGTTCAGTTTTTTGGTGGTACCAGGATGGAACTCAGGACTTTGTGCTTGCGGCAAGCACTTATTATACTGAGCTATCTTATCTCCCTGGCCCCGAGATAGGGTTGAGATAGGCTCTTGCTAAATTGCCCAGGCTGGCCCTGAACTTGTGATCCTCCTGCTTCAGCCTCCCTCATCCAGGATCATAGTGTACACACATCTGGCTTAACTCATTTAAATAACCATGTTTACTGGGCCCAACTTCCAGTCTTCTACCTCAGAGGTTCTGGAACCTACCCCGCCCTCCAAACAAGGTGCCCAATGGCCCCAGACACTGGCCCCACCCCAGCCCCTGAAATAAATCACTCCAAACAACACTGTCTTTTTTCCAATTAAATTTTTTCTTTTTTCTTTTTTCTTTTTTTTTTATGAAAAGTCACACAGAATTTGTCAACGAACAAAATTCCAAAAGAAACTTAAAAAAAAAAAAGAAAGAAAGAAAGAAAGAAAAAAAAAAAAACAATAATTCCCCCCGAAATAAAACCAAAGTCTGGCTTTCCCTTCCCTAGATTGTCTGCTGGAGGCCTCCGGTGGGTTCCGGAAGGCGGGGGCTGGCTAAGTGCTTTCTGGCCCAGCAAGTGCAGGGGCGCTGGGCTGGCGGCTCCCTGCCTTTCCCTCCCTCCTCCTCCTCCTCCTCCTCCTCCTCCTCCTCCTCCTCCTCCTCCTCCTCCTCCTCCGTCTGGGGGTGAGCACAGTGCGGGGATGGGGGCAGGGTGCTGGGGCCGGGCAGTGAAGCCGGGTGCTGGACGCTCACAATCTAACAGGAAATAAAAAATAATATTCCGCACGTCAGAATGTGTTTTTTCTTATAATTTCATAGCTATTTTTCACAGTTTAAAAAGTTTATATTTATATATATTTATATATATTTATCTTTATATATATAGTTAAAAAGTTGACTCCATTTAAAGGCTTATGATACAGGGGTGGGGAGTCGCCCTCGGTACAATAAAACTGTACAGGTTAAGGACCCGGCGCCCTCCAGCGGGCGGGCGCGGCTGAGGGGTCAGCACCATGGGGGGTCTGTAGTGTGAGGGGCTGGGCTCCCCTCCCCCGCTCCACCCCAAGTCCAGGCTGCCAGAGTAGGCAAAGGCAGCAGCGTCCTGTCCGTGGGGACCTTAAACCGGCACCCCAGCACTGGGAGGGCACAGCCTGGCTCCTCGGGAACCCTGCCCTGGAGAGGCCGGGCCTGTGTGGCCTGGACCGCACCTGCAGGGCACGAAGGTGCTGGGGCCGGTAGCAGCGGCGCAGCCACAGCCGGCGGGAGAGGGTGGGCCATGTGCACACGTGCATGCATACGGGCACACGCACACACCCTCACTTGCCCGGGCGTGCACGGGCACGCTGACATGCACACATTTGTGCCCCACGCTGTGGCGGTGACGGAGGGCCGGGCCCTCAGCACAGCACGGGCACACCATCCGTGGAGAAGATCATGCCTGTGGTGGGCTCGTAGGTGCCCGCGAGGTAGTACAGGCCCTCGCTGTCCTGGTACTTCTTGGTCTTGAGCATCTGCTCGTACTGCTCCAGGCCCACCACCAGGCACTTGTGCGACACTGTCTGCACGTCGTTCTCGTCCACGTGCGAGGACTGGTACAGGGCTCGCTGCATGGCAGGGGCGGGTGTCAGGGACTGGCTGCCCAAAGCCAAGGAAGAGCCAGAGCCAGACAGACACACACAGACAAGCGAGCAAGACAGCAAGGGAAACAGCACTGGGGCGCAGAGACAGGAGGAGATGGGAGACCCAGGCTGGCTGTTGCCCCTACCTCCATGAAGTCCTTCCTCTGGCTAGAGGCCCGCAGGGCTGCGGGGAGGCTGCGACCAGATTTCTGGTCCCAGGGCTGCTGGGACAGACAGGGACTTGGTGAGCCTAGCCCAGCCCTTCCCCCACGTGCCACAGCCGAGACCCTATAGCCTCAGTCACCCTTGGTGTCCCATCCAGCTGAGCTGACCTGGCCTTCGTGGAGCTGCCGTCCTGGGCTGGTCTCCTCGGGGTGGTAGAACCACTTAACTCGGACCACCATGTTGTTGCCCCATGACTCCCACATACTCTGGATGCGGCCGATGTAGGGCAGGTTGGGGCGGCCCGCAGAGAGGAACACAGCACAGTCCCCGATGCGGATCATCTCCTTGCCGCGCACAATGGCCTTGTAGAACAGCTTGCGGGCCTTGCCCTTCATGCCACGCCGCTGTGGGCCAGGCAAGGGTCAGGGGTGGCACTGTGCACGAGGCCTTGTGCCACCTGAGCCCTGGCCTTGCCTCTGGGTCACCTGCTGCCAATTTGGGGTGCTGCCTCAGATTGGCCAGTGCAGGAAGTGATCTATGGGGCTCTTGAAACTGAAAGGGCCTTCAGCTCCACGGTGGGCCCTGAGTGTGGGCTAAAGGCTGTCCCAGCCAAGACAATGTCACCCATCACTGCCATAACCTGCCAACTGACCCAGTGCTAGCCCTTTGTGCTGGCTTCTTTCTGTGTTGGATATCTGCTTATTCACTCAACACTTTCCCCCAACCTGGGGCAGTTCCCAGAAGCACCTGGCTCCAGCAATACCATCTCTTAGGGAGCAATGAGCAGGAGAGTGAGCAGGCTCTGCCTGCCACCCAGCCACATGCCCTCAGCACAAACTAAAATCTAAAGCCGAGTCCCAAGGTGGAATCTCCTGCTTGAGCACGGCACCCCACCCTCAGCCTGGCTCCCCTCCTAGCCACTCTGCAGGGCACAAGTACACTGCCTCACATGGCTCCGATCCCCTTCAGCTGAAACACAGGGAACTGTTGAGGTGGCTGAGCAACTTTGCTGCAGTGGAGTTTGTGCCTCCCACCACCTACTTCCCTCAGCAGCTGCCCCTAGTGGGCAGGAGACTTGGTCTGGACAATCAGAACAGCCTGGCTTCCTGCTGGCCACTGTGACCAGCTACAGAGTAGCCTGAAACCCAGGCCAACACTCGGCCAGCTTTAAAGCTCTCGGTGAGACCACTTCCTACTGGTGCTCCTAAGCTGGGCGAAGACACCCTGAAAACCACTGCACCTCCCTGCTGTTGGGGAGCGGGGCTGCACAAGGAGACCGACACAGAGGGAGGACAGAAAGCTGAGGCCTGGGGTGTGGACCCAGGTGGGAGCTGAAGACTGCCTTTCAGCCCTCAGATCCACCTGTACCTGAAGCTGGACACCCTGAGCCTTTCTGCCAAAGAGCCAGTAAGCCTGACCTTGTAGGTTTAAGTCAATCTCGAATCTCTTTCCCTTGCTGCAGTAGGCCACTGCGCAAGGGGGACAGGATCTAGGCCACAGCCACATGCCCGTTCTCCAGCCCTGGCTACCTCAGCCACTTACCTGGGTGGGCTTGCCGAACCACTTCCAAAGCTGCCGGGCGGGCAGGAAGGCCGCGATCTTGGGCCGATTCTCCACAGAGGGCAGGCGCTGCCGCTTGGCCAGCTCCTTGGTGGTGGGCAGGTGCACACCCTCGCGCTTCTTGGGGCGGCTCTTGGCCCCAGCCTGCATCTTGGCCTGCAGAGGCTTTACAGGCTGGGGCGGGGGTGCTGGTGGCTGGGCAGCAGGCACCTTCTTGCCCGAGTGGCCTGAGGAGCGGGCCTTGCTGGCTGGCTTGGGAGGTTTGGGCAGGGCTGGCTGTGTGGAGGGGCCAGGTGTGGGAGTGGGGTTCGCCTCCTCATCCGAGCTGCAGGAGGAGTCCTCGTCCGTGGTGGAGGAGGAAGAAGAGGAGGAGGAGGAAGAAGAGGAAGAGGAGGAGGAGGAAGAGGAGGAGGAAGAGGAAGAGGAAGAAGAGGAAGAGGAGGAAGAAGAGGAAGAGGAGGAGGAAGAGGAGGAAGAAGAGGAGGAGGAAG